GCTTTTTGCATGTTAGGCCACACACCCCTAATTGTAGCACATCCGAATGAGTTTCTGCTGTTGGGTGTGGCCTATTATGCTAATGAGTTCCTGCTGGGCGTGGCCAACTTGGGAGCCAGCCGGAACTCCATTCCTGTGCGTTCCTGCCCCAAAATAGCCCTGACTTGAAAAGTCGCAACATGGGTGGCTATTGCCCTGAAGCAGAGGAAGAGTTCTACAGAAGCCCATACTGTTGAATGCAGAAAAGCACCATTGGTCATGCACTATTTCAGTTCATCTCTGGCAAAGGGAGTTTTGCTTCTTGAAAGCTTATGCCCTGGAGATCTTGCTGGTCTCAAAGGAGCTGCTGGTCCTGAATCCAGCGGTTTCAATTCCAGTTTTATTACCCCTTTGTTGTGATAGCCAGTTACAGTTAAACCGATAACCAGACTTGGCCGAATTTAACTTTGTTTGTTTTTACATGAAAGAGTTCTCAAATGTTTGGCCTCCCCGCCAAACATGCACAGTCTGAAGTGATATAATCCAGATAAATCTCCTGAGGTGTGTCCTGTCTTCTAGGCACTTGTTCTCAGGGACTTCAGAGGGCTGTGACTTCAGTGGAATGTCATTATTAAACAGATTACAGATTATTTTCTTTAGTGCTCACCGTCTTTCATTACAGCTGGTGTTCCGAGGTTCAAACAATGCCGTAGGAATTCATTTGCATACCATAAACTTTGGAGTAGTTCCCCAACCTGAAATGCGCAATCATTCCAGAACAAAAGACCAGCTGTTGACTGTGCCCGTCCTCCGTCTGCAGAGCCCAAAAGGATTTCAGCTACCCAATGAACTGGGCTATTGATTTGTTAAAGCGGACTATGGCCCTGTTCACACGGACGATTTGCCGCGGGAGAGCGACGATTGCATAGCGGATTATCCAGGCGCGATCACACCACAACATTTGGGAAGTGGAGCGCACCCATGGCAAACCCGTGGTGTACTGCCGAAAATGCATGATTAAAAACTACCTGCTCGAAGGTACTAGCAACCAGTTTGCCACGGGCTGTCTCCGGAGTCCCTCGGTGTGATCGCGCCGGCCGCGGCTTTTCCCTCCGGCCCCTCGTTGATGCGCAGGTGCAGAGGGAAGGAACCGTGGCGTGCTGCCAATGCGTGGGATCGCGTTATGGCGGCTCTAATTGCTGCGGCGCAAACATCCCCGCTCCCCTCCCCGCGTTATCCGGCCCGTGTGACCGGGGCCGATGAAACCTAACTGGTAAGGTTTATTTGATGCCTTTTACTGCATTGTCTTCTGTTGGAGAAAATCAAGCAAACAGACTTGTCATACAGACGAGCTACAAAATCATTATCTTACAACTAGATCTCATGGTATGTCCTCACCACCAATTTCCCAGAACTGTGGAAGCTTTAGAGGAGAGGGTGGACTAGGAGGTGCTAGAAGAGAGTGGGGTGGGGCTGCTGGGCCTTCTCAGGGAACACCAGTGGGCACGCGGGCAGGGGAGGCCCGGCCCACCACCCACCCCAAACAGCACACGCACAAGCCTGAGGCATGAAAGGGGCCTGTGGGACTTGCTCGTCGTGGTGATGACAGGAGCAATGCTCAAATTCCTCAAGGTGAAGATGGAGCCCAGGACATCCAGACAACGGAAGGGGAAAGGAACTGAATCCCCCCCCCCCCCCACCACTCTGCCTCCCCAGGACACACAGCGGCCCCGCCCGGCCCCACTGTCCAAGGCTGCGCCTGATGGGAAATTGCCCCGCCCCCATTCCGCCTCAGAGCGCTGGCTTCTCCCTTGCCTCCTGGTTGGCCTGACTGAGCGACACTCTTTTTAAATAATCCCCCCCCCCCGGATTAAGAAGAGAAGAGAAGAAGAAGAGACTGGATTTATACCCCATGGCCCTTCACTACCCAAAGGTGTCTCAGAGCGGCTTACAAACTCCTTTCCCTTCCCCTCCCTACAACACACACCCTGTGAGGCAGGTGGGGCCGAGAGAGCTCTGGCAGAAACTGCTCTTTTTTCAAGGACAGCTCTTATCAGAACTACGGCTTGCCCGAGGTCATCCGGCCAGGTGCAAGTGGAGGAGTGGGGAATCAAACCCGGTTCTCCCAGATTAGAAATTGGATTTATACCCCATGGCCCTTCACTACCCAAAGGTGTCTCAGAGCGGCTTACAAACTCCTTCCCCTTCCCCTCCCCACAACAGACACCCTGGGAGGTCGGTGGGGCTGAGAGAGCTCTGGCAGAAACTGCTC